AATTCCATCTTCCCAGACAATTCCGCAACTCCGGAGCCTCCTCTCCCATGACCCTTATCTCATCATCTCGGTCCGCGCTTGGCTTGGGGGCCTACCACTCTGTGCATCCGACAGAGGATCGCTAAGCAGATTGGCATCTTGCTCAGGTCCAGAATCAGAATTCGGCTGCACCAGCATTGTTGGATCTTCGATCGTCAATCCCCAATACCCATAGCACTTTAAGGCCGCTCCACCCCTGGCAAGTCAAAAGTGGTGCCCCCGAGTCGGCACCCCAAGAAACAACATCCACAGGCCCCTGGGTTATCCCACATTCCCACAACGCTTTTTATTCCGAACATGATGGGGGCGAACGGCGACACCGCCAGCTGTTTATACACTGCGTCGTTTGACTGGCGATTGTGCGATCGCAAAATTTCCTGTGCCTCCGAAGGCTTTCGGCTCTATGTCAACAACACCTGGAATGTCGCTGGGGCGCACTGCAGGTCGTACAAGGTACGCTGCAGTCCCTCTTCGCTGTGCCTTGATACGGGGCCTGTTGTCCTGCAGCAGACTCGAAAATCTCGAAAATCACCTCCACTGTTATCAATCTTCGGAACGCCGTCTACAAGGCAAGCCTGCAGAAGGCGGCACAGCAGTGGGTGGTGCTTGGGAAATCGCGCCAAGAAAAGCCAGGCACAGAACACCCAATGTCACCATACGCGTGTTTACGGATGCGCCCGGATAGATAGATCACACGGTTGTCAGCAAGCGGAACGAGGTCTCAGTGAAAAACGAACCGGACTCCCGGCGAGGGTCAATTGGGCCGCCCCATTTGTCAGTCCGCCCCCTGGTCTTCGGCCTGTTTGGCGAGCCCGGCCGCGGGATTGCAAATCAAAGCTCACCAAGCTCCCCTGCACCGTTGTGCTCTTTTAGACGGCCACAGCGAGTGTTGGTCAGTCCCGGCTTTTGAGGACCAGCATGGTAATAGAGTACAACGGCCAACCAGTGTTACCCGCTGGTGCTTCTTCTCTCTGTGCTCAGCACGCCTTCGGATAGCACGCTTACGGATACAGTACACGCAGGCACCAACGACCCAAAGGAGAAGCATCAGGATTTGGCCGTTTACTCGCCCATGTGCTGCTGCAGCTCAACCTTGGAAGGGAAATTAGCAAAAGACCATCCAAGATGCCAAGTTGTGGTGTGGTGCTTCAAGAGGTGTGCCGCGAATCCCTGCAGACAAGTTGCCTTAGCACCAAACTTAGAGACAGCTTGATATAGCCCCTGGCTCGCCCCTGGGCTGCCACTCACTGGCACCTAGCAAGCCTGGTCAAGCCGTATTTGGCCCTAGCAGCAATCATTCAGCTCTTCTGGTAGGGTGGGCTGGCCCTGTCATCAGAGGAGCGTCATACTGTCATCGATCAAATCATCGTCTGTGCCACCTCTCCTTCTTGACTCGAGCGGCAGCCGGGCCTGAATTTTTGAGAGACAGACAAGACGCTAAACATTGATGAACACCCGCTGTGGGCAGATTAGGCCTCAGGGGCTCAAGTTCCAAACTTTTGTTTTGCTGTTTTTGTTGTTGTCAGCTAATCATGCTAAGATCCACGCAACTTTCTTCTTTACGTTCCCTCGAATCCTTCACGCCTAATTGTCATTATCATTCCCTCGGCTCGTCAGGCTGCAGAATTACAGAATAACCGTACAGTAGAAAAACAGAGTCCAGAACAATCTCACTCCCCCAACTCTCCCGAATCAAACCCGCAAATAACGGGACGCGAACTCATTCTCGAGAGGTCAGCCCCCTGGTTCGTCTCTATTAAAAAGTCGACCAGGGCATCGCTGATGAATGACGCACTGGATGCTACCGTGTCGATGTACGTACCGCTTTAGGGCGCGCCATGCCGCGCCACAATCATGGATCCCGGTTGATTATTTGGGCTCCTAAGACTTCCAAAGGTCCAAACACAGGCGGCTTCTTCGGAGAGAACGCCACGAGTGCCTAGCCCAGACATGTGCCTCCACGCCGCCCTCAGGACACTTGAGGCCGTTATCAGAACCCGTCAAGCTCGAATATTGGTCTGCCATCAGAAAAAACGGCTGCATGGGTAGCAACAACGGCAGCGGCGAGACATCGCGGGGGAGAGGCTGAGGATCGGCAGGTCGTCAGCGGCCAGCCGTACACCACACCGGGAATACGAGTACGCGCAGGCGACTGTGGCACAAGACAACAAGCTTGCCGCCAGTCTCGCCGCATGTGTCTGCACGACGGATTCGGATCTACTGTCACGCAGTACCTGAGTGTTTCCAGATGATTAAACTGCACAAGAATGGTTCTTGAGCCGCGTTTATTGGCCGGGCATCAAATCACCACCCATCGATCCATGGTAGCCATCGATTTCTCTAACAACCGGGATGCCGAACGATAAACACCAGCGCCCGTGTACCTCCTGAGTGCTGCATGTCGGCAATGCCACATTAGCCGCATCCGTGAGCGTAAGTACGATGGACGTGTCTCATATCAACCGCAGTTCGATGGGAAAGGGGACTTTGACAACCATTCTGTCGCTATTGTAAGCCAAAGCGTTGGAGCATCAAGACAGCTCTTGATATCCCAGCGTCTCGGGCCTAGGTATTGATTCCCAGAAACGGTCGCACTTTTCTTTTGGCAACTGCCGACAAGCCAAATGATACGGGGCAGACGACTGCAGCAATCCATCTTGGATGTGCCAAGTGGCGTGCGGTTCGGCTGGCTACAGACAGACGGATCTTCATGGAGGATCAGCAAATTGCACAAGAGTCGTCCATTCCGCGCGGAACCATTCAACAAGCCACCGAGTGGCGCATGGCATCCCTGCTTCGGCTCGGTAATGTGGGGATGAGGTTCGGCCGGTCAGAAAAGAAAAAGAAAGAGCGCCTGCCTTCCTGCATCACGGCTCAGCCGACGTTGACTGGCGAGAACTGAGCCAAACTCCAGCTTCCACCGACGATTTGATTTCCTTTCCGGAACGATTGAAATACCGTGGCAAATTGGGAAAGTCTGGGGTTTGGCAAGGCCGGCAAGATCCAAACGATTGTCGCGGTTGGTTCAGAGGAGGAAGCGTCATCTTCGAATCTGTGGTTTCCAATGAGATGGTTTAGATCCGACCAGGACGGCCCAAATTCTCCGGGCGGACGGCCGGGTACCTTGCTCTGGACGGGGTATCGTGTTTCGAGGTCGCAATACCGGTTGGCGAGCTGCCGCTACGCGAGAACCAATCCCTGGGGTCATGCTCAAACGTATGCAATGGCAACCCTGCACGGGTACCAGCCGTTTTTTCAGCCACCATATCCCTTACTTCTTGCTTGCTCCGGGACATACAAAGCGAGTACCGGCTCGAGTAATCTGCCATTTTGCCTCCCATTTCGCATCCTTCTGTCACGATAACTGCGCTAATAGCACGGCATGTCTGTGATCCGGCTCGTTGCGAAATGGACTTGATTGGTTGTCATTGCGTCTCAGACATGGTGATTATGGGTTGTGATGCTTGGCCTCGCCTACCAGCTTATATCGCCCCTGATGGCGAGTTCTCAATAACCTCTAACCTCCTACGCCATAGGCTTTGCCGCTGGGCTGCAAGTTGGGTAGCGAAGAGGGACTTACTTGGTTGTCGAGTGACGATGGCGGCCCCAGAGCTGCAGCTCAGTATTTCTGAACCGTGGAAGGGCCGCATCGGTGTCTTCGTGTTGCATGCTTATCATTGACCTGTCGGTATACGCACCCTCAGAGTACGATGAATGTTCTCAGCAGAGTCGGGGGATTTCAACATCCCGGCCCGTCAAAGTGTGTCGTCTCCTGGGTCGAGAGTGGTGGTGACTTGTCTCCGATGGTCTGATATCTGTCCGAGCGGCACATGCCCAGGAGGATCACGGCAAGCCGGGTTACGTCTCGCTAGGAGATTATAGGAGCTGCGCAGGGTTTGAGCCGAAGAACGTGGTCGAATCGTTGAAGATGAACGCGGCGAGTCGTTGCTTGACAGCCTCCGATGTTGTCGTCTAACTATGTTGAGAGCAGCTGGTAACATAAGCTTTTCGCTACTCACCTTGAGAAGGACGGGGTTGAAAGTTGTACCATTCCGAGTGAGTGGTAGATTGGTGACAACAACACAGTCTCCACTGTATTGTCATCCTCTTGTCACTATTCTATCAAGAGAAAGGCGGTTGCAGCCCGGGACAGACAGGACAACGACCGTCTATGGTTTACTATGACGTCCCAAAGGTGGGAGCAATCTCTGTGAGGTATTTTTTAGTTCAGGTAGACGTTGTGTGTAAGCCACCTGCCGTCTCATCTCTTCTAGCGCTGCGGAATGCCATGCGATCTCGCTCTGACGGTGCGTGACGGGCTTTAAAGCAGTCCAGATAGCCTGTGCGGCTGTCGTCCCATCGTGAGATCGACATTGCATGTCCGTGTGCGGAATATGTAGGGTTGAAGCCTCTTGGTGCGTATGTTTATGAGTCTGTGTGCTTGTCTTTGGTGATCTGAATGTCATGGTTGTGACGTCCGTATGATGAGTTACTGCTCGCCCGCGGTCGTGGCGTCTAATACCGAAAGCAACCCCTATCCTATCTTTTCAACCAACATTGAGTCAATATCTGCAGCTCAGTTGCCTCGGAAGCCTCGTTTTTGGAAAAGTTGGAAAAGAAACTGGAAATTTCCGCCGCTTTGCAAGAGCAAGCTCCCTAGAGACCAACAGCTTGTATTCCCGTCATCTGATTCAGGGCTGTCTAGCTCTTGGAAGCGTTTCTGACTCGCTTCTGTGTCAGTCCTTCATTCTCTACCTGCGAGGAGATCACGTGTGAGTTTGTAGGGCATAATTTGTGGAGGAGAGAGAGTTCTTACGGGATTCGATTTCTGTATATTGACACAAAAAGAGGTGGCAACATTAGCTCCTGCATGAGAACGAAATCTTACTGCCAGAAAACAGTGCTGTAGCACGCTGTCTGCACCACGAGATGTCGCGAGTAGGTAACTCAGTCAAGCTTGATCATCTCCACAACCCCGAGTCCCCCTTCCTGCTCCAGGAAACTCCCAGACACATTGATATACCCCGCGTAAATCGTGTCACTAAGCTGCCTGGAACCATATATTTCCTTCGCAAAAACTGGACCTCCTGCGCGTCGCCGTTCTCAAAGTTGAGCGTCCAACTCTGAGGGTCAACGAGGTTGGGCTTGGCCAAGGTCCACGAGCCACAGGCCCCGCCGCCGGCTTCCATATTGAAGGGGATCACACACTGTGACTCCTCGCCCACTATGATAGTAGCGAAGCGGTAAGCGTCGAAAGACGGGCTGCCGAAGTCGTACGCCCAGATGCTCGCTTTGGTTGAGGAGCCGGGGAAGTGGAGCTGGAACCAGGTCCAATTCTGCGGTGCCCCGGCGCCTTGTTGGTGGTCGTAACACGTCAGGGACGCGGCCGGGTCGACGGTGTGGCTGGTGTTGCCGACAGAGAGAGAGCCGGAGACGGCGGCGCAGTGGAGTTTGCGAAGCCCGGGCCGAAGGCGAAGGCTGCGTTTCCACCGTTTAGGAGCACTTTGGAGGTGCTCTCCCAGGTGATTTCGAGAGCGTGTTCGGAAGTTGAGGCGTTGGTGAACATGCTGAAGATCAAGTCGCTTGTCGTGGATCCCACGCCACAAGTGCCGACTGAGACTTTAAATCCAGGGGCGGCGAGGGAGGTGTTTTGTGGGGTAACGTGTTGGAGATTATTCCAGTAGTCAAGAGTCTTCGGTTCCAAGAGAGAATACTTACAAACGTTTCCCATAACGTGGGACAGGGCGAGGTATTGAGAGCCCGATATGATTGTTAGAAAGAAGCTGGTCCAGTAGGAGCCGGTGGTTTGGTTCGAGGAGAGGTTGTACAGGGATGGGATTCGAGTCTTGGTTATCACGTCAGTTCGTGGCTTGCCAGAAAGACTGAATCTAGTAGTAGTCTTACGTTGAGATAGGTTGAGTGATCGTCTGGTCTGAACATCTCCGCAGCGCCGCCGCCGAAAATCACGGATAAGACAAAGATCCAGGACATTGTATGTAGGTAAGTTAAGGATCGTTGAAAGATTAAGTTGCAAAGCAGTAAGAGTATTCCAGCCAGCAACGAAGGTCTAATTCCTCATATCTACATGCTCCTTATATGTATGGCAATGCTTTTGTATTGAGCGTGGTCCCAAGAGACTGGTCCAGGTTTCCCGTCCTACAGACATTGGCGGTCCGCTTCGGCTCTTGATAAGGCCGAACACTCATTCAAACCGGTCATGAATACCTTTAACTCAAAGTATGGAGCCCGGCAGAGTTTTGAGCTTACATCCGTGGTTGTCCGGACTCATCCGCCGCAGGGCCTTTCCCTAGTCCCCTTTCTCTCCGGTTTTGAGCAGGTCGCGCAGTTGACTTGCGATCTAGACCCTTTTTTTCGGGCCCGACTCTGGAGGGTCGGAACCAGTATCATGATGGCAGGTATTGATAGCTCTGCAATCTCATGACTGTGTTTCTGTAGACAAGAACAGCATTGCAACACCACGAGACCCCTATTTCGGGGGGATGTGTTGTTCCCCGCGCAACTCTATCAGGTCAAGACGACTACTTAGGGGCCGAACGGATAGATTGACTCCATTCTAGCTAAGATTGACTGTGGCTGTCATATCAAGTTGTCTTTCAGCTGATCATGGGTTCGTGGACAGGATGTTCGGGCAGGTGGGCTCAACGTTGCTGGGTTGCAGACCACCTTGCGACAACAGGCTAGATATTCGTCATCTCCAAGCCACAATAGAGTCCGGGAGCATTCAATAAAATGACCCTGATGGAATTTACAAACATGGGCGCGGCTTGACTGCGCATTTTCTCGTGTTTACGTTTCGGCGCCGGCTCGGGCAGTGCATAAGCACCGACGCGTGTTAAAGAGGAAAGAAAGTCCCGAGCACCGCCCTACCTTCAACTTCAAGCAGATTTTCTTGCAATTTGGCCTAGCAGACCCAGTAAGGATCTTGGACTGTTGCAGGGTCACATTTTAAGTCTAATCCCGTGGTGGAATATAAACGATGCCATGCTCCCAGTATCCCCGCTGGAAGATGTTGCCAAGATAGTTATCCAACCAGCAATCAATAATCAATATCAAGACAACGAGAACAGTAAGAACGACAATCAAAATGTCAGAAATGCAGAAGCCTCCTTCAAAATATCATTATGACCCTTCCCTCGCTGCCGCAATCACATTCGCTGCCTTATTCGGTATCAGCAGCGTCCTTCATGTCTTCCAAACCATCCGTGCGAGGACATGGTATTTCATCCCATTTGTCGTGGGCTCCATTTGTATGAATTGATCTTTGTCATTTTGTTGCAAAGATCATTTGGCTGACATTTGCACAGTTCAGGTAGTTGGGTACTCGGCCCGAGCAGTCAACGCAGCCGAGACTCCGGACTGGTCGCAGATACCCTTCATCATCCAAACCCTTGGGCCGCTACTCGCCCCGGCGCTGTATGCTGCCTCCATCTACATGCTGCTAGGTCGCATCATCAGCTCTCTCCGTGCCGAGCATCTGTCTTTCATCCGCGTGAGATGGTTGACCAAAATCTTCGTGTTCGGGGATGTGCTCTCCTTCGCTTTCCAGTGTATAGGTCAGTCTTCTGGCATTCGCGATAGACACTTCATTCTGACTTGTCATAGGAGGAGGCATTCTTTCCGGCGCAGACGACAAAAGCGGGATCGATCGCGGCCAGGACATGATCCTCGTTGGCCTCGGCATCCAAATCCTCTTCTTCGCATGCTTCATGGCGTCGATCTCCGTCTTCCACTACCGCATCCTGCGACAGCCGACGACGCTCAGTCTTTCAGGGGTCCGGCCCTGGAAAGAATACATCTTGGTGCTTTACTTCACCTCCTTGCTCATTCTCGTCCGATCCATCTTCAGGGTTGTCGAGTTTGCAGAGGGGCAGACGGGTACGCTGCAGAGCAATGAGGTGTATCTTTACTGCCTGGACACCGCTCTGATGTTTCTGTGCTCGGGGGCTTTCAATGTGTGGTTTCCCGGCCGCGTTGTGTCATCTTCTGTTGATAAAGACGTGGACGACCTGAGACTTTCTGAAATTTCCGAGCAGCTGAATCACAGGGCTCATCACCAAGGCGTATGATCAGCGGAAGAGGCTCGCATCATGACAGAACTCAACGCTGCATAACTGAGGAGTTTCCCTACGGACTTTGAGACTTATATTTCCCTTGGATAGATAACTGTTGATCGCCGATAGAGATGTGTTGGTATTGTAGATGTTAGTAATATAAAGAGTCTTACTGCCCGGGCGGATATTTCAAGCTATCCGGGCGGGTGGTAGGCATCAACGATAACAAGGATAATAACGAAGACAATAGCGACGATAGGAACAGGGACGACAAGGACGACAGGGACGATAGAAATAGTAAGTTGTTAGTATAAAATAAACTATTTGACTCAGTATCACAGTTATCCGCCTGGTTAGCCAGAAGTATCCGCCCGGATAGCAAGGCTCAATACAAAACTTGCCAATTTTCAAGTGTTCACCCGGTTAATCGTTGAAGTTTTTCAAACGTTTGCAGTTCCATGAGATTATCCTTATACACTACTAACGTCAGCGTTATCATCTTGGCTACTCGTCCTATCCACATAAGCCTTTTTCTTCCAACGAGATTACTTCTCTGGCCATCTGTGCCGACAAGGACGTGTCCCAAATGCCTTCTTCGTGGAGTCCTGTGGTGACAAGTTCAACGGCCTGTCTCCTGAGAATTGGTACTCGACACTTCATGGCTGTGTAATAAAGCGGCGGGATCAGACCCATTTGAGCAGAGTAGCTGAACCGCTGAGTGCAGTGCTTCGATGCCTCATGAGCTAGTGGCACGGGTAACATGGCCTCCAGGATATCTTTTATCGCCGACAAAATGAAGACAAAGTTGTCTGTGTAGCGGTCGAATATCGATTCGTCCGTTGGATAGAGACTGGTTTCGACGATGATGAACGCCATCTCGTGATACACCGGTAGGTAGCTGTAGGCAACTTTATCTTGATCCCCAATAACAGGCCACATTCTCTTGGTGTAGGTACCGAAGGTCCTTGACCAGGATGCGAGGTCATTCCTAAGACGTTTCTGACTACCGAGCAGGTCGAAAGCTGTGGCTGAATTGCAGCTACTTTGTCGACTCTCTTCTTCTAGTGCGTAAGATCGAAACAAAAGTCTATCCATGCTCTGACGTGCATGAAGAATATCTCGAAAAGCAGTGGGCACTTCGGTGTCATGCCAAGATGGAAGTTTTCGAGAGTAGTGACCTTGGGAAGAGTTTGTTTTGAGGAGAGTTGTCTGGATATCGAGCCAAGCGAGGGTTTCGGCGAGAGACTCATCGGCACAGTCTCGAAATGACCTCGACCCGCTTGAAAGACCTGGAGTGAGAAGGTCCAAAAGTTGAAGGCCGTGCCGGAAATGAACATAACCATCTTCATAACGACCCTGCATGAATTCTAGATAGATTAATATGATGCAAACAACGAGAGAAATGCGCACGGATTCCGGGCGTCTGTTGCATAACTGAGGTCGAAGCAGACCAATCGCCTTGTTGTAGTACTGCAAGGCCAACCGCTTTTGGGTAGTGATATTGGATAACTCGGAGTCCTCCGATGCGACTTTGCAGCAACACGCATTCGAAATCTCCATCCTGTGGGCGGCACCGAGCGCTAGCACAGCATATAATACCGCTGGCTCCGTTGAGCTCGCCTGAAGCACCAGAGTTTCCCAGAACAGGGCACATGTGAAGACCCCGGGTAGCTTGCCGGTGGTACGGCGAGCGAACCACTCAAATTGCCTGTGCTCGTCATGACTGAGGCTCAAGGCACCAGCACGTGTATTATGACGCGATATTGAGGGTGGTTGCGTCAAGGGTTGTGTTGCATGCTTGGATGTAAGGGAACGGCGCCCGCCTCCGCCGCCCCAAATGCCGTACCCATCGCAGGTTCTGCCCGTAGACAAGCATCTTTGGCAAGCCGGCCTATTCTCATCACATTTGACTCTTCTGATTCTGTGAGACGTTTAAGTCATGGTCCGGCGTTTTATGGGCCCTTCCGAGGGAGACTTACTTGCAGGTCTTGCAGCCAGACTTGACCCGAGATGCTGACACTCTGGCTGTTGGCTGTCTCGCTCGATTTCGGCCTGTATTCATGACTGTACATCGACACAAACCACTGATGCTAAAAGTGACGCGACAGGTGGTCCTTCCGGGTTTACAGTAGACCAACGAGAATTCTCCGTGAAATTGAAAAGTGAAATGAAAAAAAGACACGAAGTTCTCCCCCTTCACTTGGCAAGTTCGGCGGAAATGCCCCTGTACTAACCCAGAGAGTCATGGGCGAGTCAAGATTCTCCTGCTTACTTCTCATTGGCTGGCTCGCAATTGTCGTCTTACGATTGGTTCATCTTTTTAAACAACGGTATCCAGGATCGTGGGACTACTCCTCCCCCACACCACCCGGCAGGGATCACGAGTCTGATGCAATGACATCGCATCAACATGTGCGGCTACGCCTTTCGTGAGCTGGATTTTTGCGCGACTCCCGGGTGGAATACGGAACATCACACACAGTTGAATTGGATCAGAACTGGGCACTTAGGGCTCACTTTGCCATGGGTAAGCTCCAGCTTTCTGACAGTCTCATGCCCCGAACTCATCCGTCGACTATAAAGAGGCAGGTGTTGCTTCTTTCGTATCCCGAAATTTCACGTTTGATTTCGCTTTCCTCAATGATTGTTCACCCACCGATTTTCTTACTCCCTTCCTTCCACATCACTGGTTTACTGGGAGGCAAACAATATGTTAGCCGCCAACATTGAAACTCGCCTCAACCATGATGTTCCCAAAAGAACGAAAATTTGTATATACTGCGGCTCATCTACGGGTTACAGCCCAAAGCACATGGAGGCTGCTCGCAAGCTCGCTCAGTTGATGGCTGCAAAAAGCCTTGATCTTGGTAAGACAGAGGTGCTCAATTCTAAGACGAGATCATCAAGATGCTTACAAAACTCACCTAGTCTACGGGGGTGGCACAGTCGGACTCATGGGAGAGGTGGCCAAGACCCTCGTCTCCATTTCCGGACCAGACGCAGTCCATGGCATCATCCCCGAGCCCTTGGTCAAGTTTGAGCGCGATGATACCTACCGCAGCATCTGTTCCGAGAACAAGATGCCCATCCCGGACAAGATGACATACGGCCGTACTACAGTTGTGAAAGATATGCATACCCGCAAGCGTATGATGGCAGAGGAAGTTTTTGCGGGTGGCCCAGGATCCGGTTTTATTGCGCTCTCTGGAGGATACGGGACGATAGAGGAGATTCTTGAAGCTGCCACGTGGGTTCAGCTGGGCATCCACTCGAGGGGTGTTTGTCTTCTGAATATTGATGGATTCTTTGATGGAATCTTGAAGTGGATTAAACAGGCTGTAAAGGAGCAGTTCATACGTCCAGCCAATGCTGCTATTATCGTGACAGTGCAGACGCCCGAGGACGCCATTGACGCACTCCTACATTATCGAGTTCCGACATCCATATTGCAACTTGATTGGAGTCGAATTTGAATTGATCCTAGATGAGAACTCTCGGCTGTGGCTATCCTGAGTATCATAGACACAATAGAAACTCCCTGCTCAAATGAGCGAAATTCGCCGAGAGGACTGTGACGTTCAATCTCAACGATGCAGAAGGTACATCCAGAACTCAGATCCAACTTAACAAAGGTCACAGGCACATGCTTCATGGACAAGAGAGCACCGAAGGCGGGCACAAAGCTTTGCTGGATCTCTTCGATTCCATGGAGGGCGGGGTTGTTAGTGAACTTCAGCTGTGCGTCCTTCGAGAAGATAGCTGGTTCCATGGATGCCAAGCATAGGCCCACCAGCGAGGGCTGTGAGGAGGGATAAAGCCAAGGTAGTGCCGGTGCCCTCCCCGCCTGCGGTGTCATGACAACAATCGCGTAATGAGTGTCCGGGAGCTAGGCTATGCCTGCGGAGGCTTGCCATTGGTTTTCCGCCTGATGGAACCCTAACCAGGTATTCGTACTTAAGTCGAACTTTCCGGGCTCTCATTCTTGTGCCACATCAACCGTTCGTCTCTAAAACTTCCACCAAGCCTTGACACTGCGAACATGGCTCCAAAGAACCGCGTCATCATTGACACAGACCCGGGTTAGTGAACATGCTGAATGCTGTGATCAGAGTTCTGAGTTTCTTCTTGATAGGTGTCGACGACGTGCTGGCCATTCTTCAAGCACTTTCGTCATCTCCGGAGGATCTGGAGGTGCTCTTGTTGTCCGTCACTTACGGCAACGTTCCTGTCACCAGGTGAGTTATCACTCTGATGCCGATCGCTTGACTTTTGCTGACCAAACAGTTGCCTTCGCAATGTCGTCGCTCTCTTCCACGTTCTCGAGAAGGAGATGGCATGGCGGGAGGCCAAAGGCAAACACTTGGGCTTTGATGCGCTCAAGGCGTTCAAGCCGCTCGTGGCAGTGGGCGCAACACACCCGCTTGAGGAAGACGAGCTTGCCGCAGACCATTTCCGTACGTAAAGAAGTAACATTACCGAACAATTGCTGAACAACTTTCAGATGGCGCTGATGGTCTGCATGGTGTTCATACCGAGCATCCTCATCTCACTCCACCGGAAAACTGGGACGCTGCCTTCGATGAAGATCAGCAGAACTTTTCATCTTCGCTGTTCATCCCATCCAGAGAGCCCGCCCACAAAGAAATTCTCCGCTTGTTGCGCGATAATCCTCCTAACTCCATCACGATCGCTGCCATTGGACCGTTGACCAATCTAGCGCTGGCGGCCGCTGAAGATGTAGACACTTTTCTTCGCGTCAAGGAAGTTGTAGTTATGGGAGGGACGATTGACTTGCCAGGCAACATCACGCCGACGGCTGAGTTCAATACTTATGCAGATCCAGCTGCAACGGCCCGTGTCTTCGCCCTGACCTCGCCTTCTCCCCAATTCACGATGCCACTCGCAGCTTCGCTTCCTCCGTACCCGAACAACTTGAAAGGCCAGCTCAAGCTGACTTTGTTTCCTTTGGACATCACGACTTCGCACCGTCTCTTTAGACGGGACTTCACAGAGAGGATCGCACCCCTATTAGCGAGCGGAAGCCCCTTGGCGCAGTGGACTGGGCACTTCATGTCAAAAACATTCGACAAGATCGACTCAATGAAGGGACCCAACAACAACTCCGATGCTGGTCTTCAACTGCATGATCCCATGCCCATCTGGTACATCCTTACTAAAGAAGACACACGCTGGAAGTCTACGCCCGTGCCTGAGGACATCCGCGTAGAAGCCTCGGGTCAGTGGACACGTGGGATGCACGTGGTGGATCGCAGAGGGCTCAGAAAGACGATGCCAAAGGCGGATGACCCTGACGGCTTGGCCATGGACGAAATGTTGGGAGACAACGGCGGTTGGCTTGTAGCTGGCAAAGGAAATCGGATTAACAGGATCATTCAGTCTCCGGGAAAGGATGTATTTGGTGGGGTCTTGATAGACAGTATCTTTGGCTCGGCTTGAGTACAGTGTGCTGTACATGCATCTCGTTGCTATTCGCACGCTGGCTAGAATTCCAAGGAAAGCGAAATCTTTTCACCTTGAGCTTGGTACTAATACACACGGTGATCTGTGGAAGATGACCGGGTGTGGATGTGTTCTAGCCAGCGCTGTCTTCGTCGGACTGAGTATCGTAGATATCCGGAGTGCCGGCAGATGATTGATTTAGAGTTGCTATCCGGGCAGTGTCCCAGAATATCTAATACTTCTATGAAGACAACAGTTATAGAGAAAATAATAGGGGTGGTAGTAATAATTACGACGAAGATGAGGACGACGAAGATGAGGACGACGAAGATGAGGACGACGAAGATGAGGACGACGAAGACGACGAGGACGACGAGTACGACGACTTCGATAACGATGATGAAAGCGAGTATGAATGAAACAAAGTCGCTTTGAGAAGATATACGTGTGTGTGTGTGTGTGTGTGTGGACACTGCCCGGCTAGCTACAATCTTGACTTGCGATATCTTCTAATTTTTCGATAACCGCTTTAATCAACGCGTCGGTTTCTAGCTCTTGGCTTATATCGGGTTCAGGGATAGTCTGATCGGGGACCTCGCCAGCCCCAAGTATCTCACCCATGAGAGATAGTCGCCATATGAGGTCGCAAATATCCCATTTAGGAGCGTTCTCTGGGTTATCGGTCGTGATAGTGAATTCGCAGCCATTTCGGACGATGCGACGAGTCTCTGATGAGACCAAGAAATCGTTTGATAAGCGGAAGGCGTCACACTTAGTTGGTACCTCTGGGCTGATAATTTCAGCGGTGGAAGAGATTACAAAAACGTTGCTGAGGAGAAGTAAGTTCAAGGTTCGGCTTCGGTTCGACAAAAGGGTCGTGAGCATCCACAGGGCGGCTGGTCTGTCCTCCTAGCTCTGACACTCGGAAGGCTACATGTATTCACAGTACACACCTACCTTTGGATGCCGTAGACCTGCGCCGCCCCTTCTTCTGTGTAGCAGGAAAGCACGCACCGAAGAAGTAGAGTGCCCCCCATCGTGACATGTAAAATGGTCAAAGGAAAGAAAGTGTATATATGGCTGCTACTCAGCTGGTTTTCTTGTTCCTGAGGTCGGAAAGCTGACGTCGAAGTCGACTCAGCTGTGATGTCGCAGATACGCTCACGAGGCTTGACGTACCTGGCGGTGGCTTCCTACCTGGCCTAACACTGCGGTCGCCTAATCGCCAGTCTGGTCAAACAAGAATAGATGGCCCAGCTTTTGCCGTCAAGTGCTCGTCCGCCAGGGAAGGAAACGCAACCCTTAAAGCTGGTACCGGGCACTTTGTAAGTTTCTGCGATAGACTGCATGAACTGAACATACTGATGGATCATCGTGATCGCCTTCAGTTGGAAAGCGTCCCAAGAGGTGCCGTGATCCTCATCTTTTGTCCCGAGAATACCATCAATTATTGCTGGGGAGGGCTGACCACCCGAAGAGCACAGGCGCTTGAGGCTGTTGGTACCGTGATTGATGGGCGGATGAGAGACCTTGAAGAGCTTCGCGAGCTGGGAGGCCTGGTAGGTCTTTGCATCTAATGACCTTTACGTGCGATGATGCCGAATTATTTGCCAACCGCTGCAGGTTTCTGGTCGCGATGTGGCTCCCACACCTCCTCATGGTGTCCTTCATGTCGGCGAGGTAAGTGAACATCCTCCTTTGTTCTTGTACTTGCAGCTGCTTGAGTCTTTTCTATGAGATCATCCATTTCTGCTGTGCTAGAGCGAATATTTTTCTTGTGGTCATATACCTTACCCTACTTTCTTATTGTTGTCGTCATCACTGTTTTCGTGGTTGTGACTATCATCATCGTCGTCGTCATCGTCGTTATTACTATCTTTATCGTCGCTTTCGTCGACGTCGTTGTCGTGATTATCATTATCATCGTCACTATCGTCCGTAATATGAGTAGCTACGTATATAGGAAGTATAGCTGTACAGCCATAGGAAAATTAGGCGGTCTCTTTTCTCATCATCTCTCGGAAGCCCGTCCAAGCGACTAACTTGATCGGATCAATGAGTCGGTCACAATCTCATAAGATGACTGAGATACCATCATCCAGCCGGAAGACTGGCTTGTTAGCGACTTGAACAGGTTCGTCTGCGTGCCTTAAGAGCTGGTGGAGCGAACGCTTGAGTTAATGCGTTCTCTAGAGGAAACACAGAAGGCGATGACGGCTGCCATGGTGAACGGTGTTACAATGACTGAAGCGGCAAAGGTCTTGAGAGAAAGCTGAGTCCAGTTTTGAAATGCCTTGAGAGACGCTGGTTTGGTCCTTTCAGAGTCTGAATAGAGAAGTCATATCTCACTCAACTATTATATAGCATCAAGGGTATCTCACAGGTTGATGAAGCATCGCCAGTCCCGGGGTGAGGCGGTCAATCCCATTACCCTGAGATGCCCTCACGCAAGTAACTGTTTAACCGCATAAAGGCACAAGATCCTTTCTTAAGTAACAACCCTTTTGCGTGTTTCATTAGCAGTGGTTGACTCTGAAAAGAGGGTGGATTGGTATTGGTGCGATACGCTCTGAGGTTATGGTGATCCTAGACACCGTCCTCAAGCACATACGACCATACCCATTGGAAAACTCGGGATCCCGTCCGCTCTCCCATAGATAAGCCAATGAGGGCTGGAGTAGTAGTCGGGTCGGTGACGACCGGCGAATGCCCGGTGTTGTATGTTTTTTGCTGTCTTTTTGCTCCGCTGGACTCATCAAGTGAGGCAACCACTATTCCCCCTTTACCGGCGCATGTTGGGGTCTTTTGAATACACCAACACAGTAATCGTCTAAAGAAAGTCATCGCACTTGTATTCTTTTAGCATATCATCAAGGATATCTCGCAAGTTGATGAAGCATCGTGAAATCCGGGGTGGGGCGGCCAATCCCACTAGCTTCATATGACGCATGCCGCTTGACTCATCCGTCCACCAAACATCTAAACAAGACCTTGAGACACCTCCTTGATGCCAAAGAGTCACCGATATCGTTCGTGAAGGGCGCAATCATTAGGAATGAAGACATTGGGTGGATCTCCTGACCAAGCATCTCTCGGGAGGCCATGCCGCAGCCGCCTCACCGTCAATTCACCCCTTGCCATATCAAGCTTGCTGGACCGAAGCCACGTCCGGCCGTAACCAGTCAAAGGTGTCCAGCAGGTCGAAATTGAAGTCGAGCTGCGTTGAAAAGTCCCAGTCCATGGAATCCAAACCGGCGGGGAGCCCAACTCCGCCGTCGGCGGAGGCAGACGCACCTGCAGCTGCGGCGGCCGGGTTGTTCAGGGCCTGGTCAAGGACATGCTGAATAATTACCTTGCAGTCGGCACAGAGATCCCCGTTCGGAGCGGTTGGGCTAACCCAGTCGAGAAAGCCGACTAGCAGGCTTAGTTTCTGGATGATACTGGAGCGAGTCAACTTGGGGTTCTGCGGGTGGTTGCCCCCGTGGAGAGTGGGCTTGAGTAGCTCGAGACAGAGGATTCCGCCTCCGGGAGCGGCATATGCCATTACCTATATGTATTAGTGTCTCTGTGTGAGTCCATTGGCTGGATAGGGGGTTCAGGGGGTAAGCAATGTACGTACGAGCCACTCGAAATCACCATTCATCACGGACAGGCGGTCCATGTTTGTCCAGAAGAGGAGGGTCTTGGACACCATCTCAAAGCTGACTGCCAGCAATGCTCCATCATCATGCCCTCGCTTCACAAGAAGCCTCTCGATGAAGAACATGTTCTGCAGATGCTCCAGGTACACGATGAGTCGTATGTAGAGTATGGCCACATCAATCTTCCGATCTTGAATGTCTTCATCTTTGAATACGACAATTGGTGGGAATCCAGCGATGGTTCTTAGTTGCCTCTCTTTGATTTCCCTACAGGGGTAATAATGTCAGTAGCCTGTCTGTGAGCCATCGGATGGGGGGCCATTCGCTTACAAAACAGTCTCAACGGATGTCACTGAGCCATGGCCAAGAGCGATCTCGAACAACTCGTCTCGGATGCGAGCAAGCATCACACGAGCGCGGATGAAGGTAGCGGAATACAATCCGCCCTCAGTGTTCCACCCATTCTCGTCAAGGTTTGCTACATGGCGGGCGAGTGTGGCTTTGTCAGAGAGCAGATGCTCATCCTTGAGGTCCAGGGGCGGGGGTGTGCGTGCATATCTGCGGCTCATCAATGGTGGCCTTCCGGAAAACGATGCAAGAACCTTGTCCATGTAGAAAATGTACGCAAAGACCTTGCGTTTGATCTCGGCGCCGATGGTCGGCACGTATGGCTCGGTGTCGACTTCAGCGTGAAAGCCGAGAAACGTGGTCAGCGCTACGGTCTCAGAGTGCAGTTGCCAGCACGCAAATCCTTCAGAATACTTTGTGAGTACGGCCTTATGGTGAAAATGAGGGAGATTACTTACCGGCATCGCCAGAGAATAGTGACTCAATCACTGTTCTCCGTACGGACATAAACAAGAGAAGAGTGTTTCCTCCGCTACCGGCAGCTTTTGTCAGCTCAATGCATGCACCTATGCAATACCGGTATCTCATCACTATCTTGGTGTTCTCGTCCACGGACTCGAATTGCATGCCCACGTCTGGCCGATACGGCCCGAGATATCTCGCCGCGAGTTCCCAATACACGAAGACGACACCGAGCGACTCCCATCGCAGGTTCGGTCCAGTAAGCTGAGCGACCCATTTCTCCGGGTCCACCTCCTCGTCGTTAATGCGCTTCGCCGTATTGGCGCATATGGTGCGCGCAAGAGCCTCCATCTCCCTGTCACTCACTGGCGTAGCGCTGTTGAAGTGCCGTGGGAAGGTCTCATAGAGAGAGAGCATGATCCGCCGCCCAACAGGACGGATCCAGCCGTCACTCGGGCTCGAATGGCTATCCCATAGCTTCAGTCCGGCTTCCCGGTTCGGAACATGTCGGAGAATGTTCAGGCATGTCTCGAGAGCTTGGGGCGTCAGCGGTGGAGAGCACTCCAGGCCGCAGTAGTTGGTCGTGCCAATCTCACTGATTGGCGCCGTTCCTGAGGACTGAAGTCGGTTAAGATTATGCCGGGTCTCCTCGTAGATCCCGGAGAAAGAGGTGAAGCCCAGGTAGCCGATGCCGAGGACACTCGGAGTCGCGGCCACGGACTCGGGGCTTGTGGGGTGGCTTGCGGAGCCGGAGCCGGTACGCCGCCCAGGCGTCGCACTGGTCGGTGTAGGCACTGTTATCGGAGCTCTCGCTGATGAACCTGAAGGATGGCCTGGCAATGATGGGGGAAAGGCGAGTGTCAGGGGGGATGGCGCCACAGAGCCCCGGGTGTCTCTTGCTCGCCGATGTTCTCTTGATCGATTCGGTCTAGGACTTTCTCGAGCCACAGGGGTGCTGCTGACAATGTATTCACATGCTTCTGGGTTCTTCGACTTTCTGCATCTGTTACAAATGGGTTGCGTATGGTCGCAGGCTACTTTGCGTTTGCGGCATGGCTCACAAGCCTGAGCCCGTCCGTTTTTGCGGAACAGTCTCGGCTCCGTAGACTCCATACTTCTGTGAGGATAAATTTTTCAAATAAAGTAGATAATTATGAACCGATTCCGAATGATTCGGCGTCTCAAACTCGGTGTTCCATTTGTTCATTCGGCGATGTTTGTTCGATGAATGCCAGACAGCAAATGAGTTCGGCTTGAGAAAGAAATGTCGGTCTCGGCATCGGCTTGCAATCTTTCGGCTTCGGCAGCGCTCGCCGAGCCGAAGCCGGCCCTCCACACCTCCACACCGACCCCATGTTGGCGGGTGAATCATGGTGATTTAGCCTGGTGAAGGTACACATTACTAATTCTCGCTCAAACATCCAGACCACCTAACCCGAATCGACTGGCCGACATTCACGTCGCAAGGGCTTACAGGGCTGACCTGCAGGGTATTTTCTGGTAATATTTCCAATGCTAGGCACGATTGGCCGTTGGCCCGTCGGTGGCTGCATTTAGGAATCCGCTTCGGCATCGATGTGCCCGGTCTGACACTGGCCGGAGCAGCGCGCTAGCAAGGCGGACCAGTTCCATCGTGCAAGTTTGAGTAGTCGACTGACGACGCGCCCTTTGAAATGATGCCATGTATTTCTCGGAAGTGGCTTGCGTGTCTGTGAATCAAGGTGATGGGAACTCGGTCCCGAGGTCGTTTAGGATTGGAAATCTAAAATTCAGCATCATGGCCACGAAGCGTATAAAGGCCGGCCAAGCCCTCCCCGAGACCTGAGGTTGGAAGGCATCAGTAAATCAAACAAGCTTCAGTCTATACAATTGAGGATACACACGATATTACCCCGTCAACTGAAGGTCTTTAAAATCTCCACATGAGCTCCATCGAAACGACTTACCTCAAGGCCATCCTTCGCGACGCCGTAACGAGCACCATGTCTGGCAACTACTACGAATCAGCCATGGTCATTCCTGGCATGCACGCTTCGGCCATGCCTCGTCGACCTGCTCAGCCAGCTTCATCTTCAAGGCCCAATGTCGCGGCGATGGCTTCAGAAGCGACGCTCGTCGACAAGAACGGTGCCCCTGTTCTGTCCAAAGAGAAGGCCGATGCCGAAAGTGTTGTTGATGGTAAGTTGTCCTGGCAAGCTTGACTTTCACTCTTTGCTGCTACGTTTTCTTGGCTTTCGCCGTCTCACCACGTTCATGTTATATTCGCGCGGCTCGATAATTCAAGAAGACGACGCTAACCCGCTTCCAGGATCATCAACAACATCCCGCAAAGGATTCCTCAAGCGCATCTTGAAGAAGGCCTAGATGAGCACCACGTTATTACCGACATGATACCCTTGATCCTTCATAAGCAACAAAGCATTTTTTCCGTTTCAGCATGTGGGCCATTCCCAGAGTACCGGATGGCGTCAGCATCTTAATCATCCGGCTGACCGTTGACGACGCCCTGTCACATCTTGGCGCACACACGCGCGATCTATCTCACCTTTCATTGCCTGGACGGTTTGGCTGGAGCCACTGCAGCCGAAGGCGTAAGCAATCCTCGGTCAACGATTTCGGAAGGCCGTCCGGGTCGGCCATCGACACTCTTTTCCGAAGCTAGACCCTGACACCGTCTCTTCATTGGACGAGTTGGCCTGCCATATTCCAAAACGGTGCGGCATGGCGCCTCCAGGCAACTGCAGCTTCCAAACGCTCAACGACGCTCTATCAATACGAGTTGAAGTGGGCTCAACTCTTTCCTTCAGTAGAACTTTTCTCGTGCATTTCCACTGCCGTTGAAGTTTTCCGTATTTCTTATCGTAGCGTGGCTTCGCTGTCGACATCAGCGATGTGCACGTCTATTGGCTGGTGTTATAAATGTCCCGTTGAGGCCACCAGACAAGTGGCTACATAGAACCTACTGATTAGGCACTGAGGGAATGAATAGAATGAATGAATTTGACGAAACACTTCCACCAGACTTCGCGGGCGTTCAGCCCATCCTAAAATTCTGCGCTGCAACCGTAGCTGTTCTCCTTTGCAAATTTGCCAACCTGTTCGACCACAGCACACTACAAAACTCTCGGTTTTTACTGACCTTTGAGATGAATTCTAACATACCTGCCTCCTTGTCTCGCAATATTTATCGCATACTATGGTCAAGTTCGCGTGGGCTTTGCCCCTCCTACTTGCTAAGGCCTCCTTCGGTCGCCCTTTCGGAGAGATCGACCCCAATGAAATCGGCCTCACGCTCTGCGGAACAGATCACAGAGATGGAGAGCAGCACGCCCGCGACGATCTTTTTGCCTTAGAGTCCATGTACAAGGACACCGCCGTGTTCAAGGAACAAGAGCCGATCCGCATCCCTGTCAACATTGTCCTCGTCGGGAACGACAATTACACGAGTTTCTTCTGGGTAAACTCCAGCATTCGGACTCCTTCTCTAAAGCGTTGACCAAGACACAGGCTAAAACTGTTCTTCCCTCTCTGTAGAACAAAACCACTGCGATCGAGGCAGCCTACGCCAAATACCGCAGCGTCGGCTTCGAGTTCGGCCCGTTCTCCTATGAAGAGGTCAACGAGGATTCTGCGATCCAGCACAGGTTCAGGATATGGGGAAACGTCACCTCGGCCTTGGTCCGCGCCAACCGTCGCGGCGGAGCGGACACGCTCAACCTGTTCCTGGTCCCCGCGAACCTGGGAACCTACGGCTTCGCCAACTTCCCGTGGGCCCTCCTCGACGCACCCACAAAGCGCAAGGGCCTGGAGTTTCCCCTAGCCAGTGACGCTGTCGTCATTGCCACGGTGGGTCTGACGGAGGAAATGCTTGAGAAGCTGGTTGTGCACGAGACGGGCCACTGGCTCGGCCTATACCACACGTTCCAAGGCGGTTGCAAGAGCGACGATGACCAGGTTGAGGACACTCCTCAGCAGGATCTGAGAAAGAATTTCCAAAAGACTTGCGACGCAAAGCAGAACTCGTGTCCCTTGCTGCCGGGATACGACCCCGTTCGCAACTACATGACTTACACTGGATGGTGAGTTGGATGTGCCCAATAGACTCGGTTGTTTCTTTCAACTAACTAGTGGGGGGAAACAGCAGCGATGGCATGCACTTCACCGCGGGCCAGGCACGACGCATGAGGCAGGCTTGGGAGGTGTATCGCGACCCCGAGACCAGAAATCTCCCTGCATATAGCGAGATGCCTCTTCCGCATATGTCGCCCGCTCAGAAGCGAGATCTGATCGACCTATGGATGGAGCGAGAGCCACCGGAGTTCCGCAAATATCATTCCCAGATCCCTGTTATCCCTTTTGGTCCTCCTGGTCCTCACAGTGGCACAAAATCTTGGGAATGGCCTGGACTGAAAGCCCCGGGACGGCGCTTGCAACCTTGCTGTCAAAAAGACGCGGCGGTTGAGGTCAAGAAGAGTTCTGGCGGTATTCCACAAGGGGAGGGTACAGACTAGACGAGACCGCCTAGTTTGCCTGAGATAGAGCGACTACTTTTCCTATGTGCTCGCTATCGTCGTTACTGTTGTAGTCGCTACTGTTATTGATACTGTTATCGTCGTGTATCGTCTTCGTCCTCTATTACCAGTATCTATCGCCGTCGTCCCCCGTCGTCCTCCTCCGGTCGTCCTCCTCATCAAAATCACTAAGTACACAGGAAAAGTAGTCGCTTTGGCACAGGAAGAATAGGCGGTCTCGTTAGATTGGGTTCTGCAGCCCATACGACGTATTAGGAATTGCACAAGTTAAAGTCCAACGGTCATGGCGCTCGTTGAGACCTGGCTTACCCTGCATATATGCCCGGCTCCAACCGTCGCCGCAAGAACCTGGCTGGTCATGGTTTTGCGGCTGAAAAGCTTTCCTTGTTATAAACCCCTGCTTAACTTCCCTCTCAGTCAGAGAAGATCTCTCAAGCTCCCGCAACCGTGATGCACCGTGTTCTCAGAAGACCCTCTTTCAAAGAGCCAACAAGGCCCTCCCTCACATGGAAACCACCGCACCACAGCATAGAGCCGACTTCGCCATTAAGCACGTACCAAATTGTTGCAATAATGAAGCTATCCGTCCTCCTTGTCCTCGTAGCATCGAGTCTCGTGGTCAGCGGCAAAACATCTATTGTGTGCATCTATCATATTACTCTAAAGAAGATGTCAGGTGCTACGGATGCTCAGCTCAAGTTGGAGGACAAATGCCCAGATATGAAATGGCAAACTGCATAGTAGTGGCACAAACACACACACACCCTTACGGTGTATTTTATACAACTGCCTGTTTACTACGGTGTCTCATGGTGTCTACAACATGTAAGCCAATAGATCAAGATCTTTTTCTGGCCATGTTGCCAAGCTGACTTTTCAAGGACGGCTTCACAGACGGTGTTCAGTCCAGAGGTACGATCAATGGGAGGTATTGTTAAGGCATTCAGATGTATGGTCATTCCTCGAATTAATCTTCCGGAGTTTCATATGTGTTGACGAGACCTATCTATAGCTTCCATTTGTGAGTGGTTTGGTCTGAGGGTTCTTGGGGCGACTTGCGTGGCGTGCACATTGACGGGCGCCGACTCTTTTCTGAAGTCATCAAGCTTGCGAAAACAATTTGATTGGGCCAACTTGAATGTGTTTCCTGCGGACAGACCACCCAAACACCTCTTATGAAAGAAGGTGCGTATTGAATTGAAGTAATTCGATTTAACAACTTCATATCCCGTCGAATACGTAACGTAGAGACTGTCTACGTGTTTCCCGTTTCGATACTCAAAGGGGGTATGTAACGAAGCCGGGTTCCAATAACTAATTTCCCTATTGGTTCCTCCGCATCCCCATGTATCGTCGTCTTTTAAACCCGCTTTCGCGCCCGCCCGTTATTCCTCTGAACCAGCCGATCTTCAGACACGACTAAGGGCCGCCCTCGGAAGACGGGCCGGTCACGGGAAAGCCAGAATCCTGGGAGTATTTGAGATGGCAGTCAGCAAAAACCTCCCTTCTAGCCTTGGGAAATCGGGGAAGCATGCAGGAGAACACTCCTATCCTTCGTCAACGATGGATAGCAATAGGCTCGCATACTCTATGTCCTCGATAGCCGCGTCGATGTTCTCAGACTCCCGCAGCTTCTGAAGGATATCGAGAGACGCGCTGTACAGGTTCTACGAGAGTAGAGTAGCTCTATGCCCTACGGCTCTTGTGAGCCCCTATCGCCTCGATGAGCTTCTGCTTCTGGGCCTCCCTTTGAGAAACGCCTTCCGGGATCAGGTATATGTATGGTATCTCTGAGTGTTTGTAGGAACTGCAGATTGGCCGGGTGCCGTCGTACTGCTGATAAAGATCCCTCTATCTCGGTTCTGGATGATCCGTTGGCTCGAAGGTGAAAGAGGAGGGAGAGGTAGATCGGAGCATGTGTCAAGTTGAGGTTGACTTTTTCGTTTTCGGCATCCTGGTTGCGTGTGTCACGTCAGCAAACGCGTGCTTGGTTTTCTTTTTCCAAGCAGAGATGGTTCCAAGCAGAGATGGTGATTTTGAAAGGGTTCGCGGGGCTTTTGTTACCGTTTCAAGCGGCTCGCACGTGTGCTTGGAGGTGGAGGAGTGTCTTGCTGAGGCGGTTCATGGCTGGTGCCCGAGGTGTGCGGTAGCCGGAGCCGCAGGTTGTGTGTGTGTGTGTGTGTGTGTGTGTGTGTGTGTGTGTGTGTTTTGCATGTTCGTCCGAGTGCGATGCATACGAAAGCTGGGCAATGGAGTGATAATGATGGGCCCGAGGATAAGCACGCGAAAAGTCCTCATAGGCAGCCAAGCCTGTTAACAATGACAATGGCGTACTAGACGCCAGCCAGAAAAGCACACTATGAACACGGTATAGTAGAATTTCTCGTGGAACCCAGCACGCCTACAATCCAGTCTCTGGAGACGTACCCTCTGCGTGCCGAATGACACCCTGGACCATGTACAAACCCACGTAGCTCACAACGCTCAGGGGGCAGAGAAGAACTCTTACCCCCTCCGGCAGCGGGCAGCAAGAACCGACTCGCATCCACAATATCCTCAACAGCATAATCAGGGCTGCAGCCGGCTGGGCTGCTGGAGTACTTCGAGGGACGCGCTACACGGGCTAGCCGACAGCCGCTCTAGCACCCTGCGGCTCCTCTCGTGCGCCTCCGTTATATACGTAGGCCTCTACTTCTAAGCTGCTTTCTCCGAGAGGCCCTGTAAAACCGTATGGGATCTCAGAGTACTGACGAGAGTGGTAAGTAGGCCTCACGCCGTCGTACTGGTTTTTGCCTGAGGTTGATTCCCATTGTTCGAACTGGTCTTTTGGAGAAAAAAAGGGGAGTCGAAAAAAAACCCGAAAAATGGGCGGGGGGCCGATTGACCTTGAGTTTTGATCTTCAGCATCCTAGTACGGATGATGCCTATGTCAGACATATTCCTCATTTGCGGCGAAAACGCATCACCAGGCCAAGTCAGGCCCGGAGGATAGACCTGGAGGGTGCTCCTGTGAATAAGTATCGCCTGCGCCCGATGTACTACGGGCTTTAGATGCCCAAGTTTAATCGCCATATGGTTGGAATTTGACAACTTGAAGAAGTAGACGAGTAGCCGGAGCAGAGGACATCAGATCTAGATCCAGGGCTTGCTATGCAACAATCCCCAGGTATTTTCTTCTGTTTCTTGCGCCGTGTTCACACTCAATCGTCCAACTATGGCCATGATGCTCCTTATCAAGGATTTACTGAAGCTCGGATGCAAAGCAAGTTCTTGCGCTTCATCGTTAGATGACGTCCTGCCATCTAACGATGGAAAGAGCAGCGAGGATGAGTCCCCGACGATTGTGAACAGGCGTTTACGGAATGAAAAGAGGCGTGAGGGTGAGCGATACCTGTTGACGGTGTTTAAAACGCCGACTTTCTATTGAATGAAGTCCGTTCTCTTCCCTCGGACGTCATCCCGATGCCTCGCACCTCCTGATTGGCCAAGCCCGTTGTTTGCCCTGTGACGGCGAACATCAGCCCGCTTCTGACGTTGACCCATGTCGTCGTCAACAAAATCAATGGGGGCGATTAAGTTCGTCTTTAGGTATTGCTGGCGACAAAGTACGTCTGTATTCAGGCTCCGCGGACGTGGGAAGGGGGCTGTTATGGAGAAAGAGTCCAGTCCGCCCACACGCGTCTGAAACTCTGGAGGACTGCACCAAGTCCCTTTACGTTGGGCAATACATAACAGACTTAATCGATTCATTCTCAAATATACTGAATCTAGATCACCACACGGAGGCCATTCGTTGTGGATTGAACCCAAGCCCACTGCCGTGTGGTCACTGCCTCGTAACTGCTGTATCAACCGCCAACTCTGAACGCGAGGGCCGCCGCACCTATGCACCTATGTCATAACGGAGTCCTGTACCCCGTTAGGCCTCAAAGCGAGAAGGCTCAACATAGTCAGCCGCAAATTCCCGTATGTCTCTGGCACTTACCGCAGATTATGATTACGGAGCCCCATTACGGAGCCCCTATCCCAAGTCCAAACAACCAACCACGCTAGAGGAGAAGACCGCATGCGCCTCCTGCCGATCTGCTGAACGACAACTCAAGCTGTTGTGTATACAATCTCTGGTTCTTGCAGAGTGGGGGGGAAAAACATGACCCAAATCCTCATCCAAAACGTTCGTGTCTTTGATAACGAGGCTATCTTGGAGCCGAGTGATGTTATCATCACTCGGTCCGCCGGAGACATACAGAGCCCCATGAGTGACGGCTCTGCGGTCGAGACTTTCGACGTCGTCGTTGACGGGCAAGGGTGCACACTGATTCCCGGCTTCATAGACACCTACGCCAACATCAGGGGCGCCAACGCCGCCCTCGGCACCTTCGCATCGCACGGAGTCACGACCGTTATCGACTCGAGCAGCAACACCCAGCAATGCCAGGCCCTGCGCATATACGCCGCCGGCCGCACGAGATTGCCAACCGTCTTCACCTGCGGGACCGCGGCGGTGCTGGCTCGGGATTCTCAACCATACATCCACGACAACCAGGACGAGGTGGTCATACGCACGGCTGAAGAGGCTGTGGCCTTTGCCGCCGCGAGAGCGAGCGGCCCGGACCGCGCCGACTTCGTCAAGGTCGTCGTCGACCTCCATTCTCCCCCCAACGACTCCCTCCTCAAGGCCATCGTCGACGCCGCCCACGCCCACGACAAGCTGACCATCGCCCGCACCACCGGCAGAGCGTCCTACGAGCGCGCCATGCGCGCCGGCTTCGACGTCTTTGCCCACGCACCGCTCGACGCGCCCCTAGACCCCGCACTGGCACGAGAGATGGCCGCCCGAGGGAAAGTCTTCGTGCCGACGCTGAGAATGATGAGGACACGCGCAACGCCAGACGGGGCCGATGGGATCGATGGAGTCGATCGAGTTGACGGAGAAGAAACACACCCGCCGGCGCCCGGGCCGCCTGGCTTCCCTTTCCCAGACCTCTATGGCCGCCCCCCACGAGACGATGACAACAATGCCTTCTCTGATGCTGCTGACGCCGGGTCTCGGCAGCACAGCAGACCGGGCGCCGTGCCGGGCGGCAGCTACGACAACGCGGCGGCGAGCGTGCGCACGCTCTACGAGGCCGGGGTGACGATCTGCGCCGGGACGACGGCGAACCTGGTGCCCGGTACACAGATACCCTTCGGAGAGAGCCTGCACGACGAGTTGGAGCTGCTCGTTGACGCGGGCATGACGCCGCTGGACGCTCTTCGCTCGGCGACCTGCGTCGCTGCCGCAGCGTTCCGGCTCCACGATCGCGGCATCGTCAGGGGCGGTCAGAGAGCGGATCTGCTGCTCATCGACGGCGATCCCTTGGTGGACATATCGGCGACGCGCAAGATTAAGAGGATTTGGATTCAGGGCGAGGAGGTTGAGCCCGCGAGGACGCATCGACGGTCATGAAGGGAAGCGGCTGTGGGCGGTGGACTGAAGAGATACTGTTCCTTTGGAGATTGATTCCTGCCGCTCTGCGACTTTTGTCTGTATTTATTCATTAAGTGTAATATACCCTTTCCCCCCCCCTCCCGGCCCCTTAATGTCTTCGGGCGACAGTTGTGGTGTGACTTGCTTCGTGTGCATTGAGCGTTCTGTTGACCATCGGTCATGTTCAGCCGAAAAAACGAATTCGCCACCATTGGTCTAATACGTTCAGCGAGGCTGCACTTGTTGAATGTAGCCAATGGTGCTCTCGAAGCTGACAACACAGCCGTTCTCGTCCGCGTCACCGAAGAACCCTCCCCTGGAACCATCAAAAACACGAGCTCCTTGCACAACAAATGTGGGCGCGGCGTTCACGTCCGGCGACTTGGAGCCGCCCCTGCCATACGGCGGAATACGGATGCCCCTGGCCCTGGCCGTCTCCTCGATATCCCGGAGCAATTCCGCCGCACGGCCCGAGACACCACTCCGGACGCCCATCTCATGGAGCACACAGCACGCCTTTGCGACCGTGTCGTGCACGGAGGGCTCCGTCATCTGCGGCAGTAGGACGTGGACGGCGAACGAGCAGTGCTCCGCGGCCCAGTACTCGTGTTTCAGAGTATAGAGGCCGCGGTAAATCCACAAGTTCGAGATCATGGAGCTGGCGTGGAGGATCTGCAGGGAGACGGCGTTGCGGCCGTCAAAGTCTGGCCCAGACTGGCTCGTGAACGTGTCGAGAAGCTTCAACGCTACAAAATCGTACGTGCTTCTATTCTTTGTCAATTTCTTGTGTCTTTTTTGAATTGTTGCAAGGTTGAGTTTGAAAAATAGAATTCGTTTTGGGTGGGGGGGCTTACTGTAACAGTAATATAGATGGCAGTACACTGTTATTCATCGCGAGGTGGTCCAGCAGAGACAGCTTCCAGCAGAGAAGCTTGTTGTACAGCACCGTACAGCGTCCGCGGTCGAGAATGGGACGCTGAGTGCCGTTTCTGAGGAAGCCAGAGACGAGCTGGTCCATGATCTCGCAGAGGGAACATTCGGCGGCAAACACCTGCAGCTGGTACACGTCCCCTGCCTGGTTGGCTAGGTGGCTGTCGACGGCGGGAGATGCTAGCCCTAGCGAGCCGGCCGACAGTCCGTCTCGAGCCTCGAAACTCTTCATTATGAGTGGCTTTGAGACGGACATGTGCGGTGAAGAGACAAGCGATATTTTGCTGTGCCCAGAGAATTAGTAAAGTGGCTTCGGGAGGGCGTCGTGCCCAAGAAGAAGGGTAGCTCAGGCGACTTACGCGAAGAAGCAGTAGAAGCCCCAGGCGACGTAGGAAGCTGCCTGCCACAGTTTCAAGTCGTCCGTCGCCTGGGTCTCTGGGTGGCGGAATACGTTGGACCCATTCGTGCCTAGGCCAAGAGTTGACCAGGCCTGCAGCATCAGCCTGGCCAGGCTCGCGGCTCGGGTGCGAGAGGCACAGGTTCCCTTGTTGCTGCAGTAAACCCAAAGGACCGCCGCTCCTTGTAGAAGAGTCAAGGAGCTCACGCCTCGTTCGGCGTCGAGGAGTTCGAAGGCGCAATCCGCGAACTTCTGGGCCATGTCAGTAACATCCACGCGGAGGCTACTGTGCTTCCTCATCGAGTGTAGCTAGAAGCAAAGTCAGTCT